CCCCCCCCGTCTGCCTGGGGTCCCGTCTGTGCCGCCTTCTGCGCCAGACACGGTGCGGCCCGCAGCCAGCCTCCCCCTCCCCCAGCCGGCTGAGCCAGCTTCGTCTGCCCTGCAGGCCTCCCCCTCACTAAACGTGGGGCCTCCAGTGGAGGTTTGGTCAGCTCCTTTTCTTTGCTGACGCGGGCGTGTGGCTGTCGCCCTGCACACGTCTGGAGGCATCTCTAAAATCCAGGCATTTTCTTGCATTTCACGCCGATGCGCATTCAAAGCCATTTTCTGGTCTCACTAAGATACAGCTTACGCTCCCATTGACCCGGTTCTCTCAAAAGTGGACTTTTAGCGTTAACAGATCAGGACCCAAGGCAGGTAGACGTCCCCCAAGAAATTTAGTCTGGCTTTTGCTTCCCAGGATATAAAGGGCCCCCTGATGGCGATGCCCTCCGGGTTCTGTCCGCCGAATTCTGGCTGCTACCCTGCTCCTGGCCCGGTAGGGGGCGCTGGTGGGCAGGCAGGCAAGGCGGGCACCAGGCACAGGCAGGCCTGCGGTGCCCCCCAGCTTCTCCAGGGCCCTCACCAGCGAAGGCTGGGGAAGGAAAAGGGAAGGGGGCAGGGTGTTGCCAACCCGCTCCCCCCACCCACGATATTGCTGACGAGTCTAGGAAGCGGAAAAACCCAGTGAGCGTGGAGGGCGGGAGTGAGCCAGGCTTCAGGATGGAAAGGGCCAGGCCCGGGTGAAACCTAGGGCCCAGCTGCTGCCGGTGAAGTTGGGCACGGTGCGTCACTTCCTCCGCCTCAGGCTACTATTCTCTGGGGATGAAAACAATGCTTACTCCCTAGGGCGCCCCGAGGATCGAGTAAAATAGCGCCAACACACAGACCCACCAGTAAGATAAAGCGAGGTGTAGATAAAACCTCGGAATCCCGAGGAGGGAGCGCCTGACCACTTCCAGCTTCGGGGAGAGGGTGGCATCCGGCCGGGCCTAGACACAGCCACGCGCACACAGCAGCCTGCGTGCCTGGCCCTCCACGAAGCGTGAGCCGCAGGCCGGCCGGCCCTCCGCGTGCACGGCGATCCCCGCGGGACACGCACGAGGCCGCCTCCCGCGCCGGCTCCGGCTCCCCCGCCCACGCAAGTCCACGTCCATTGCCAGGAGGGCAGGTGTTGCCGAGGTGCACGGTTGGATAGAGTGACAGCCGACACCTGCTGGCAGCGCCTGCCGGGTTGTATGTAGCGTGTGGGCAGGCTCCCGACTCGCCTCCTTGGGCATCAGTCGGACTTCCACTCACCCCGCAATGGGCCAGCCCCACCTTCCCAGGCTCAGGGACCCGTTAAAAACCGTGGCCCTCCCCCAGGCCGTCCACACCCTCCCGGACACTCCCCCACCGCTCCTCCCCCTCTCCCATCCC